GGACGGCGCTCCTGAGGGGGCCCGATGGCGGCAGGAGAGCGCCGAAAAGCAGGACGTGAAGGGCGCAGAGGATGTGTTCAAGAATCTGAACAGCGGCAAGGACGCCAAGGACAAGTTCGGCAACGGCGGACGGCGAGGGTGCAGCCGCCGCCGAGGCCGTGGATGGCGCCGCGCTGGGGAACCCGAGTCCGCGGCTTGGCGCGGCGGGGCGCGGGCTGCTCTCGGCGGCGGAGTCGGGCGGGCGGCGGCGGGGAGCCGCGCCAGATCTGGTGGTCTGAGAAGGGAGAGGAGGTGAGGCTTGGCTCGCCCCGCAGTGCCGTGTCCTTGGGCTTCGGTTCCAGGCGCGGGGCTGCGGTGCGGGTCGGCCTCGGGGCGGCGCGCGCGCGAGGGCCTCGGCCCATCGACCGTTCTGTTCTCGCGGCCCACCGCGGGGGGGCGAGCCTCGCCCACGAACCGTCGCGAACCGTCGTCGTGTCGTCGTCGTCGTCGTCGTCGTCGTCGTCGTCGTCGTCGTCGTCGTCGTCGTCGTCGTCGTCGTCCACGTGGGGTAGTCGGGCCTTTCTCCATGGCCCTTCCCGCGGGGCCCCCGCCCGACGCGCCCACCCTCCGCCGGTGACCAATTTCCTTTTGTGGTTCGAAGGAAAATCCGCACACGCCTGCACTTTCGACGGTCCGCGCTGGTTTTTGTTGAATTTGCGCGGGGCTCCCTGGCATCGCCTCTGGCGCCGTTTCCCGCGCGGACCTGCACAAGTTTATGTTCATGCATTTGGTTGTTCTTACATTGGCGCCACAGGGTCCTGTTCTGTCATGTCCCGCCCTTTCGCCCGCAGGGTTGCGCCACATTTGCTGTGCCGCGTGCGTGCAGCAACGCTACGCAGGCAGTGCCGTAATTGTTGCACCACGTTGATTGCGCCCTCACGCTCATGTTGCACAACGCTGCATCTACGAATGGCGTCTCATGTATCACACAATCGATGCCCCGCCGCATGCGTTGCACGATGCCGATTGCACCGCGTCCGGTGCTGGTCGCGCGTCGAGGCACAGATTGTGGCCTTGCCACATACGTTGCGGCACACATTTTACACCACATCGCTGAACATACTGCGCCGATCCGAAAGTTTCCCCAATTTCTCCACCGTGCCGGCAGCGGCCATCGGGGGTGGCGCGCGCGGAACAAGACTCGCGGGCCCCAGGGCGGATGGTGGCGATGTCGCGAGGGCAGAGTCGGCCCGCCGATGGGCAGCCCAGCGCCCCGTTTGGCCGGAGGGGCCCAGTACAATGCAAGGGCAAAGCCTAACCCCCGCCCGGGGTCGCGGGATCGGATTCCCCTTCCCAATTTCAACTTTGAATCCCAAACGGTGCATTGACCTGAAAATCAGCAAACGGCATAGGACTTCCTCGACAGAAGCTTTCGGGTTCGGTCATGCGCCGACCCGAAAAGTTTATCGGTTGAGTGGCCAAATCCCATAGGATTTGTGCCCCCCCACAAAAAAAATCGGGTCCGGTTCGAACGACCCGAAAATGTGCAAACCGCCTCGGACGCCTTGCAAAAACATCGTTCTCGAGGTCTTCGGGCCCGCTCCGAAGAAACCGAGCATGGGCAAACCGCTTAGAACTTCCTATCACAATCGGTTTCTCGGTGGTTCCGGGCCTCGTCTTAAGGAGCCGCCGATGGGCAGACCGCTCAGGATTTCCTGCGCAAGAAGCTGTGTCTTGGGTGAGCCGTTGTCAACGGGAACGCGCCCCGCGCGGGATCGGGGTTCGCGCGGGGTCGCGGCTGCTTTCGCGTGTCCAGGGGGCATGCGTTGTCGCGCCCTTCCAGCATTGCGTTTGCGCTGCATTCGCGCGGCGCCGTGCCCTTTAAATCGGAATAAACATTCGGAGCGCCGATGTATGTGAACAGGAATTCATTTGGGAGTTTTGCTGTGTTCATCTGTGAGTTTACAGTTTCCGGCCATGCTTGCATATGCATGTTCATGCTTGCCCCTGGAATTTATTGTTTCCGAATCGCCTAGGTCCCCATTGTTTTCCTGTTCTCCTTCCTGCAATCTCCTTGTGTCTCTTCCTCCCCTCGCATACATTCTCCCGCTTCGTGCTCATCGTTCCTGCCTTACTGTTTCTCCCTTCTCGCTTTCGTCTCGTCCTGCTCCCCGTCGTCGCCGCCGCCGCCGCCGCCGCCGCCGTCGTCGTCGTCGTCGTCGTCGTCGTCGTCGTCGTCGTCGTCGTCGTTGTCGTCGTCGGCGTCGTCGTCGTCGTCGTCGTCGCGTCGTTGCACTCCCCCTCCCTTTCTCGGGGTACAGGGCGCTGATGAGAATCGCTTCCTGGACCTACCCTGGGCTGGGATCCTGTCCATGTTATCGAGGCGGGGGCGGCCGTGATGAAACGGACACCCCCTCGAATGCAGGCCCAGCGGAAGAGGAGGAGGCGGAGGAGGAGGAAGAGGAAAAAGAGGAGGAAACAAGTAATACGTGGAAGGGGAGGAGGAGGAGGAGGAGGAGGAGGAGGAGGAGGAGGAGGAGCAGGAGCAGGAACAGGAGGAGGAGGAGCAGGAGGAGCAGGAGGAGCAGGAGGAACAGGAGGAGCAGGAGGAGCAGGAGGAGCAGGAGGGGGTCGCTTCAGCGACCGTTGGCGGCATGACTATCCCATCCCAAGACTCGGCCTAACGGGTTTCCTGGACCATGTGTCGTTGTGCTGTTTAGGTCCAGCCCTGTCCCTGCCGTCGCCGAAGCTCCGCCGACTTCGCCGATGCACCGGCGTTGCGGTGCAATCCTCCGACCCCGTCGAATTACTCGGACCCTATCTGGGAGACTTTTGCTCCCATTCTCGTTCGTTCGACTCCATTCCGTCTCTCCTTCTTCCTGGTCTGGCCTCTCGGGCTCGACGTCCCCACTTGTTCCGTCGGCTCTCTGGGCTTCGGGGCCGCGCCCCCCGCCCTGGGTCGCGGACGCCGTTGTTGCGCATTGCTCGGCGGCTGGCTCTGCGCGGTCACACGAGCGGGGCTCCAGGAGGGGCGCGAGACAAGGGGGGCACTGCGCGCGCTCTCCCTGCTCGATGGCCCGCCTTTGCTGCTGCTCCTGCTTTCTCCTCGTCCTCCTCGTCCCCTTCCCTCTCTGCTTCTTCTCCTCCTCCTCTCTTGTCCTTCTCCCTCCTCCCTCCTCCCTCCATTCCCTCCCTCACCTCCTTCTTCCTCTTTCTCATCCCGCACCCCTGTCTCGCCAGGTCAGTGCGTCCTGGTTCGATTCCACGAGCCCGTCGGGGAGTTCTATGCGGGGGCCCTGACCCAACTCCAGAGTTGGCCGCGCGGGCCAGAAGCTTGATGGCCGAGTTCGCGCGGACTCGGGCTTGGACGTCCCCTGCGCAGCTGCCAGGCGGCCCAGAGCCCGCTGGCCGAGCTCGCCAAGGCTCGGGCCAGAACATCCGCCTCGGCTTGCGGAGCGCGGCCGGCCTCTTGCAGGAGGGCGGCCTGGGGCTCGCCGCGCGGGCCTCGCCAGACATGGGGACGCCTTCGGCGCAGCGTGCCAGGCGCTCAGGCCGACTGCGGTGGGAGTGTCCCGAAGTTCGCCGCGCGAGCCATGCAGCTGTGGAGCAGAAGTGCAAGCCGTGCTCCGTGCTCCACTTCGCGTCCGTTCCTCGTGCTCCGGCCGTGCTCTGGCCGTGCTCCGTGTTTCCTGCTCCGTGCTCGCCAATGGCTCACACGTGGACGCCACTGGTGTAGCGGGCGAGGCGCCGCCGGCGATGACTGCGAGAGGGGCCAGCCCGGAGTTCGACCCGCGTGGGCCATGGAGTTGCCGAGTAGGAGGACAAACAAAGCTGGCGGCCGTGCTCCAATTCGAGACCTTGCTCCACTTTGTGACCTCTGCTCCCCCCGATCCACGACGACGATCGACGACCGACGATCGAGGCTCGACGATCGACGATCGAATCGACGACGACGACGATTGACGACCGACGTCGACCTTGCCCGCTGGCGGGCGGGTTACGCCTGGGCTGTCCCAGGGCCGACGGCGGCACAGCAGGCCACGACCCAGCTGGCCGACGGTCGCTCGACCGACTCGAGCTCACCCTGGCGGGGCCTGCCCTGCACGGCGACGACGAACCACTCGGACCTGGGTTCCCATTGCCACACCGACGACGATGACCCTGGCGTTTTCGGCGACTGCGGCGCTCTCGACAACGACGATCGAGGAACAAAGCATTGCATAAACGTGAGCTTTCGAAGGTCCGCGCGGATTTCTTAGATCGGCGCTGGACCCCCTCCCTGGCGCGCGGAGCGCGCCTTGAGCGTCACTGGCGTGGCCGCCAGGGGGGCCTCAGCGCCGATCTGAGAAGTCCGCGCCGAGTTCCGAACGTTGATGTTCTACGAAGATTTCTATAGCGAGCGCCCCCCTGCTCCTGGGCCGTCCCCTCCGAGGTCCCCGGGCAGTGCTCTGCGGCGTGCGCCTGGCCAGGTCCCCGCGGCTGCCGCAAGGTCGCCCCCGCCGCTAGCCCACACGAGCGTGCAGAATCCCGCCCGCGCTCTCGGCTACCGCCTCTGGCCACCGCTGCTCGGCGAGCGGGCTTGGCTGCGGGCAGAACGGCTCCAGCACGCCTCCCAGCACCGCCCTAGGCCCCCAAGATGGGGTCGGGGTCGGAGTATCGCGCCGCCTCGCTGATGCATCGTCGATCCAGCGCGATGTGGAGCCCGATTTTCTCCACCCCAGCGTCGCCGACGCATCGCCGACGTCGCTGACGCATCGCCAATGCATCGGCGATGCATCGGGGATGCGGCTCGATCCTCCGACCCCATCTACTCGGACCCCATCGGGGAGGCCTCTGACCGCGGCCTTGGGGCCTGACCTCGCGGCGAAGCTGACGTGCCCCGCCTCTGACGGCAGCGCGCTGCTGGGGCCCCTTCTCCCTCTATTCCTCTCCTCTTCCACCCCTTCTTCTTGTCCTTCGCCCCCTTCTAGTTTCCTCCGTGTGTCTCCTCCGTCCTCCCCCCCTCTCCCTCCCAGCCTCCTTCCCCCTGTCCTCCTCTCTCCCAGCTTCCATCCCTCCCTCCTAGCCTCCTTCCTCCTCTCCTCCTCCCTTGCTTCATTCCCCTTTGCTCTCTGCTCTCACCTTCCTCTTTCGTCCCCGTCTTCCCTCCTCCCTCCTGTTTCCTCGCCTCCTCCCCCCTCCACTCTAGTTAGTGGCCTAGTTGCTCCTATTGTTCAACGCAGTGCGCCGCCCAGTCTCGCCGCCGTTCTTGCAACCTCCAGTACTCATTCCCAGGCTCGTGCCTGGTCCGTGCAGGCTCACCCCCTGAGCTGTCCAGGCTCCTGCACTGCTTTCGCGCCGTCACGCGTCAGCCGTTTGAGATATGCGGGGTGCTGACGAAATGAATCCTGGCCCAAGATCTCGAAGGTTGATGCCTGCGCGAACCCTATCAATCTCGTGACAAAATGCAGTCGCTGTCAATTTCGGACAACATTTGCTGTTCTTGGGCGTCGCTGCCCCGAGTTCGACCCTTCCAGGCCCGGCGTCGTGACAAAAGCACGTTGGCAGTTCATTGTTCACTTCCTTGGTCATTTCGGCGCCCGTGGGCCACATTCGGGCCCTGGGGCCCCCACACAGCAGCCCGCGGCGAGAGCGCCTTCCAAGACACGGGGTCGAGAGCTGTCGGGACGTGGGAGGCGGTCGTCTAGGAAGAAACACATGCACAAACATACGCTCTCAGGGCTCCGCGCGGATTTCTCGGATCGGCGCTGAGGCCCCCCCTGGCGGCGCCTCCGGCTCCGCCGCTGGCGCGTTCCGCGCGCCAGGGAGGGGCGTCCAGCGTCGATCCAAGAAATCCGCGCGGCCCGCCGACAGTGTGTGTGTGTGTGTTCATGCCGTTTTTGAGTTCCGCTAGATCGGAGGTTCAGGAGAAGGCTGGGACACTGTCGATGGCGGCCAGTGGTTTCGTCCGCAGACGACTTGTGTGCGTGTGCACCGTACCGCGTTGGCCGCTCCCGAGGCGTCGTGTATCCTCGACCCAGGGATGGTACGGTGCATAGTCTATCGGCCCTCAGTAAGAGCTATGCACCGTACAGCGTTGGGGCGGGGCTTGAAGGGAGTCCACACATGGTACGCTGCATGGGCGCTGTTCTCGTAGTTCGGAGCCGCGCCATACCGCGTAATGACAGCGGCGGGAGTCTGGGGCCAACAGATGTCCCAGAGGGGCTGTCCCGCGCGGCCCTGGCGCAGGACGGCTCGGAACTGGCGCCCGGGGGCCCTTAAGCGGCCAGGAGATGGCGGACGCCTTCCCAGACCTCCAGGTCTCACCTGGACCCCGAGACCCTGGTGTCTCAGTTTGTCCGAGCTGGGCGTTTTTGACAAATGTCGGGCCCTGGGGCCCTCACAGATCGAGTCGTTGCGACAAATGCAGCAGAAAGATGGGGTCGAGGATTCCCGTGGTGATTTTTACAACATTTTTTCGCGCCGCCGGATCTCAGGGGGAACCACGATTTTTTTGTGGTTGTGTTCAGATTTGGGCCTGTCGGAGGCCGTTTTCGTGCCCAGGGCCGTCGCACAAACAAACACGGCCCGCGACGAAGCAGCTGCTCCCGTGGATGTGGTCGGTCCCGCGTCGTGAGCTGGGCTTGGCCAAGGCCAGGGGCGCTTCTATCAGCACCCGGACGTGCTGACCCGGCTGCGAGTCTGCTTCTGGCACCTCGATTGAAGTAATTGGGACCCTCGTCGCGCCAGCCAGTCCGATCTCCCCCCCATTTCTCCGCTTCTTCCCTCCCCCCTCCTTCGTTGCCTTGCCTCCCTCTCTCATCTCCTGTTCCCTCCCTCCCTTCCTCCTCCTTCCTGCCTCCTCCCTTCATCCCGCACACTCTTCCTGCCTCCGCCGTCCTCGCTTTCGTCCTCCGCACTGCCTCACTCCTTCCTCCGCTTTCCCTTCCTTTCTCACCTCTTCCACTCACTCCTCCCTTGCCCCCTCCTCCCTCCCTCACTCCCCCATGCGCCCTCTCTCCCTCATCTGTGCTACTCCTTCTTTCTCCCCCTCCCTGCTCCCTCCTCTCCTCGTCCCTCCCTCCACCCTCACCTCTTCCTCTTCCCTCCCTGTAGGAGGCGGAAAAGGGGGAAGAGAGGCGGAGACGGCAGGAGGATGAGGAGTGGTGGAGAGGAAAGCAGAGGGCAATACAGGGGGTGATGGAGGGAGAGGTGGAAGCGAGGAGGCGAAGGAGGAGGAGGGGGAGGAGCAGCAGGAGGAGGTGGAGGAGGAGGAGGAATCTGTGGAAGAGGTGGAGGAGAAGGAGGAGGAGGACGAGGAGGTGAAGATCAGGAGGAGGAGGTGCAGGAGGAGGAGGTAGAGGAGGAGGAGCAGGTGGAGGAGGAGGAGGAGGCGGTGACGGATGTGGAGGGAGATGTCTGGAGCGGATGGTCGCCACGGCGAGGGTCTCTCGGATCAGTTTTGCTGCTCCCGCCAGGGACGAGCGGTGTGCTGCGTTCTCATCCCTGCTGCGGCGCTTCGCCTCTGCTCTCCCCTGTAGCTGTGGTAGGCTCGCGCCGCCTCGACGCGGCGGCGTCGCCAGCGCGGACGTCCAAGGCCCAACGCCCTCGATCGGCGGCGAAATCCGAACCCGACCCGCGTCGATCAGCGACTCGGGCAACTCGACGGGCGGCGGGGGTAGGATTCGGAATTCGTCGAACACGTGGCGAAATCCGAACCTTCCCCCCACCAACCATCGACTTTTGGTGGGGGGAGTGTGCGGATGTCGCCGCCTACTCCAGGGACCCTTTGGAAGAATCCCTCGGCGTGAAGACGGTGTCGGCAGCGTCTGGGGATCTCCTAGTCCTTCAGCGCCGAGCGGTTCACGCGGTGCAAGAGACAGGGGCGCGCTTCGACGAGGCAGCGACCTGCCGTGGGAGGGCGGGGAAAAGCAGCACGCTGGCACGAGTTTTCGGACGTCCGCGGGCGGTTTCTCGGCTGGCGCTGGGGCCCCCTTCCTGGACCCCTTGCCGGCGAGCGGAGGAGCGATTCGTCCACCAGCCGCGGGACACCGGCGGAGATGCCCGAGCCAGAGGCGGCAGATGTCTCGAGCGGGGCGCCGTGGCGTCCGAAGCCCGTGTCCGTGTGTGTGGTCTTTGCTCCTGCCCGCGCCTGGTTCGCTGGCTAAGAGGTGCGGGCCAGCGGTCGAAACAGGAGCTCCAGCACACGTGAAGGCGAAAAGCGTGTCTCCGCGCCCTCGGCGGCGTCCTTGTCCTCGTCGTCGCCGTCCGTTGTCGTCGTCGTCGTCGGCGTCCTCGTGTCGTCGTCCTCCTCCTACACCTCGTCTTCCTCCGTCTCCTCCACCTCGTCCTCCTCCTCCTCCTCCTCCTCCTCCTCCTCTTCCTCCTCCCCTCCTTCTCCTGCAGCTGGAGCTTCGGACCGTCTCGTGCAAGCACTGAATCCCTGGACCTCCTCATGCCCCTCCCCCTCTTCTTCCCTTCTCCCCCTTTTTGGAAGCTATGGATTTCTGTCACATCCATCTGGGAGATCCCGAATACCTCCGAAAACACTCGGGACGCCTCCAGAGACCTCCTCTGGCCCCTCGTCCCTCTCTCTTCCATGTTTCGTGGAATCATAAGTGAAGGTGCAGAGATGGATCGCGGTGTCTCTACATAGGGGGACCGAGCCACACTTAGATCGGCAGATGGAGGGTTAATCGACAACACATTTGATAGTGATATTTGTGCGCGTAGAGGGATGCTGGTATATAGCCGGATCGATGCATGTGATTATCATTCGGTATCTCGTCATGCCGATTGATGCATCGTGATGCTGGTAGACAGTTGCACCGAGACGAGCTAGACCGATGTATGTAACATGATGCCGATTCACATCTGCACGCACACACATATAGACATGTTCATACATCCATGATAGATTTCCGAGTATAGTATAACATATAACAGGATCGATGCTCCATGGTTGTCATGCTTATAGAGAATGAGGTCAGTCTAAAATGATACTGACGGAGCGAGACCGTTATCTGGATTGTCCTGTATTGTGTTCCTCTTTCGCCTCCTCTTCCTCACCCAGAGTCGCGCTCAGGGTCACTACTTAGGTTATGGTACGTTATGTTATGCTATGGTATGCTATCCGATGCTGAGGTATGGTACTTTTTTGTACAAGTTGTGTTTTGAGGTGCTATGATATATTGTTTGATGACATGTTATGTTATGCTATATGTTAAGCAGTGTTGTGGCATGAGGATGATGACTGTGATCGTGATGATGATGATGATGATGATGATGATGATGATGATGATGATGAGGATGAGGATGAGGATGAGGATGAGGAGGAGGAGGAGGAGGAGGAGAAGGAGGAGGAGGAGGAGGAGGATGATGATGATGATGGTGATGCTGATGGTGGTGAGGATGATTGACAATGTGACTTATTATCACCACCGCCCCATGGTAGTCTCCCGCAGCTTTTCTGGCTTGGAAGGAGTGTCGCGCCGGTCATCCCTCTTCTTCGGCTTCCCCAGGCTCGCCGGCTCTTGGACGGCTGCGCCGACGCAGGCTGCCTTCGTGGTCGCGCCGCTTGGCCTGAGCCTCGCGGTCGCGTTAGGTGGCAACTCATGGGAACCTTTTTTCTGCGCCCTGGCGAATCCCAGCTCCCACTTAGTGCCGTTTAGTGTAGTGTGGTGCGGTGTCGTTTGGCGTGTGTTTTTTCCGCCTCCCATCCTTCACTCCTAGCTTTTCCTCTGCTTCCCCAGGTCCCCCCCGTCGTCTTCCTCTCCCCTCTGGGCCCGTGCTGCCTGCGCGCGATTTCTAGCGACGTCCCCTCCCGCGCGACAAGTCGTTGCGTGGGGGCAGAGAGCTGCTGCTCCATTTTGCGTACTGTCGAACTCCCCCTTGGGGGCGGCATTATGCCCTGGCCCTCGAGCCCGCCCCGTCGCAGCGTCTGGGCGCGGCGCCTGGGGCGTTTCATCGCTGTAGGCCCAGTTTGCGAGGATGTCTCGAGCGATGTGCTTGTTTTGGTGGCCAGGTTCGTATGCGTTCGGAGCCCGTCCTGAGGATGTCTCGGACGAGGCGCTGGCTTTCGCACCGTAAGGGCCTAGATTGTGAGGATGTTTCAGGTTCACTTATGCTCAAACTCGCTCGTGCTCAGACTCGTTCATATTGCGAAGGCCTTACGGCCGGTGCCGCCGACCCTGAAGACGAAGCTGTCTGTGACGCCGTGAAGGCCGAAACGTCGTATATGCTAGAATGTAAGTTTCCGATGGAAAAGTAATGAGTGTGGCCTCTTGGGCCCTTCTTGGGGGTGCTCTTGGAGGGGGCCTGGGACGTCTTGGAGGCTTCTTGGACGGTCTTGGGGCTATCTTGGGCGTCTTCGGCCGATCTTTGGGCGACTCGGGGCACTCTTGGGCCGTCTCGGGGGCCATCTTGGGCATTCGGACCTCATTTGGAGTGTTTTCGAGGTTTCGAGGCCGCCCGAGGAAAAACGAATCTGCCCCCCCCCCCCCCACACCCCTCACCCCACCCCCCCTGGGACCACCCCCCCCGGGGAAGGGATCAAAGGGAAGGGGCTTCCCTTCGAATCGGCAACGGCATGACGGCAGGAGGGTACGGCCTAAAAAGAAAAAAGGGGGAAGGAAGAAGGGGGGGCGGCGAGGAACGGACGAGGAAGCCCCTCGCACACGCCGACAGGGTCGGCGGATTCACACTGGTACTTATCAGACTAAAACTCAGACTCACTCACATTCAGACTTTCGCACATTCAGACTCACTCACACTTAGACCCACCCACCCTGAGACTCACTCGTCCTCAGACCCATTCGTGTCCAGACTCATAATCATCATACTCATACTCAGGCCCACTTACATTCAGACTTATTGACACTCAGAATCACTCACACTCAGACCCACCCACCCTCATATTCACTCGTAGTCAGACTCACGCTCAGATCCACACTCAGGCTCATTTCCATTCAGACTCACTCATGATGTACGCATCCTCAGACCCACTCGTACTCAGTCTGTCTCATACCTAGATTACTGACACTCAGACTCAACCATGCCCGAGTTCGCTCACATCCAGAGTCACTCACACTCACCTCATTCATGTTTAGATTTTTGCAGTCTTCTCTCCTTTTGTGGTCCAATGCCCTCTCGCTTTGCACTTGTGCTTCCCTCTTTTATCTTGGAAGATGACCAGGGAAGGAGGACGTCACTGAATTTGTCGCTGTCGCCGTCGTTGTTGTCTGGCCCGTCGTCCACGCTGACTCGCTCTCACACCCAGCAGCCCCATGCAGTGAATCATTTTCTTTAGAAAGGGGGAATACTCGAACCGTCGCCTATCGCAAACCGAAAGCTGCAGTATCACGCGAAGAGTGGTCTTACCTGTATCTTGGTGTCTTGCGTATCGCGTTCCATGTCCTCTTCGAGGGAGCACGGGCTGACCTTCGACAGGGACTTAGGTAATATCGGGATTCATTTGCAATCGGTCCCGACTGTACTCGGGATGGTGTGCGTAGAGGGTTGACCGCACCGTTTGGGTGGGATGTGGTTGTCCGGCGCGGGGCGCGGGTGGGTCGGATTGCGTGGGGTGTGATCTCGGCTTGCGGGCGGGGGATGGAACAGTCTGTCGGGCTGGGCGACATGGAGGTGGTTATAGTCGAGCCTGATTAGTAGATCGACCCTGCCAACTCAAGGGTACCCTTGGAGTTCCTATGGCGATGTGGCCCTCGGACAGGTCTTGTGTCCTCTCGCGTGCCCTTTCCAAGCAACCCCGACTGTATGATTGAACAGCGCGGAGTACGGACGGAGCGTTGGATATAGGAGACATTTCAGATCTGGAGCGGGCCCGGCTTGTTCACTCCGGGTTCCGCGATGAGCGCCGAGGGGGCGCCACCCCCTCAGACAGCCCCAGACCGTACCCCTTCGCGGACAAGCGTCGCGTGCCGAACATGCTCCAACATGGGGGACGGCGCGCCCACGAGGCGAGGTCGATCCACCTGTCGGCGGTGGGGTGGGGGGATCCCCCACGCTCACTACCGAGAGCAGAGTACGCAAGCCTCCCGATGCAGCTGGCACGAGGTTTCATCATAACACCAACTTTGGAGGGGTAGCCTGTGCTGGGGCTCTCCGCCTTCGAATGTTCCTCGTTTCGGGCATCTCCATGGGGCCGCTTGCCTTTGGCGATATGAGCAGAACTCCCCAGCGGACCGCGTTATTGCGAAGGCCTTCCGGCCGTTGCCGTCGACCCTGAGAGCGACGACGATGAAAACGATGGGGGGGCAGGGTGGAGGAGGTGGATAAGAGAGGAGGAGGGGGGAGAAGGATGTGGAGGAGAAGCAAGAGGAGGAGAAGGAGGCAGAGGAGAGCAGAGGAGGTGGAGCAGAGGGGGGGGGAGGAGGAGCAGGAGAAGGAGGAGGAGGAGGAAGAGGAGGAGGCCAGAGGCTTTCTTGGGACAGCCTGTGGCTCTCCTGAGGCCGTCTTGGGCCGTCCAGGGCTCCTCTTGCGCCGTCTCGAGGCACTCTTGGAGGCCTCCTGGGCAATTTGGGGCTCTCCTGGGCTATCTTGGGGCAGTTTGGGGGCCCCTTGGGAGCCTCTTGGGGCCTCTTGGGGCTTCTTCGGGGCCTCTTGGGGGCCTCTTGGGGCTGAGAGCTCGAAATGTCCGTTCGTGCCGCCCGTCTGGGCACTCTCCTGGAGCCGGCTTGGGAGCCTTTTGGGTTGTGTTGGAGGCGTCTTGGGCCGTCTTGGGGCCCTCTTCGGCCGTTAGGGGACCCTCTTTGGGGCTGTCTCGGGGCGATCTTGAGGGCCTCTTGAGCCGCCTTGGCGCGTCGGGAAGCGGAAGAGGCAAGAACACCAAAATCTCTCAAACACGTCTGGGAAATCCATGAATTTTGCCTCTTGGGGTTCTCGTGAGAAAGCTCCTGGAGGCCTCTTAGGGGCGCTTTGCAGGCCTTTTGGGCCGTCTGGAGGCCGTCAAGGCGTCTTGGACAGATCGTTCGGCGATTCGGGGTTCTCTTGGACTGTCTTTGGGGCCTCTTGGGGCACTCTTGGCCCGTCTTGGGGCTTTTTTGGGCTCCAGGACTCCCAGGGGGCGCGTCGTATCTGACCACCCCCCCTGGGGCGTCTGACTCCCCTCCCCGGGACCCCCCCCCCCGGCGGGAGAGGGATCGCAGGGAAGGGGCTTCCCTGCGACTCAACTACGACGTTGCTTATTTTCGCTTTGGCTGGCGCGCTGAGGAGGTCCCTGGGAAAGGGGGGAGCTTCGACGAGCCCAGGGAAAGGGGGGAGGCAGGGAAAGGGGACGACAGAGACGACGACCAACGAATGACGGAGATGACGATTTGAACGGACAAGCCCCTCACACACGCCGGCAGGGTCGGCGGATTTTGTTGATCGGTACTGGACGCCTCTTCCTGGCGAGCGGAGCGCGCCATGGGCGGCGCCAGAGGCGCCGTCAGGGGGTCCGCAGCGCCGATCCGAAAATTTCCGCGCGGACCTCCGAGACATCCCTTTCAAGCCGTTGTCTGCTACTCTATTGACCTGCGTTCCTGTGGCCACGCATCGACCGCGTGGCGAGCACACGTGCCGCGTGGAGACGTCGGGGTGGACTTCGCCGTCGCCTCGCCGCCGCCCAGAAGTTTTTACTGGGCGCTCGTGGGTCGCCGCGGGGGCCCCGAGCGCGTGCCCGCCGCCGATGGCCGCGCGCAGGCCCCCGCCCCGACCTCTCCGCCGTCCACTCTCCCGACCTCTGCACCGCCCTCCTCCTAACTCTTTCCTGCACTTTCCCATTCCCCCTCCCGCTCTTCCGCCTCTTCCCCTCTTCCCTCCCTTCCCCCTCCCTTCCCCCTCCCTTCTTTTCTCCGGCTCCGGATATACATGTGACGGCGCACCGGGGCCCGGGCCCCCGGGGCCGCGACATCTACCACAAGTGTGTGTGTGTGTGTGTGTGTGTGTGTGTGTGTGTGTGTGTGTGTGTGTGTGTGTGTGCGTGCGTGCGTGCGTGCGTGCGTGCGTGCGTGCGTGCGTGTTTGTTTGTTTGTGTGTGTGTGTGTGTGTGTGTGTGTGTGCAGGCCCTTGGGGGGCCCCAGAGGCCCACAAAACGCCACCAGAAAGCGCCAAGAGAGCCCGAAGACGCGCAAAGAGGGGCCCGCGACGCCCACAGGCCGTTCCAAGACGCACAGGCCGCTCCGAGACGCACAAGATGGCCCCCAAGACACCCCAAGAGGCCTCCCAGACGCCTCCTGTGACGCTCCCAGAGGCCCCCCAGAAGGGCCCCAAGAGGCACAATTCGCCCCATTCCCTCGGGGAAACGTTTATGTTTCGCATGTCAACCTCTTTGGCGTTCATAGCGTCCAAGACGGCCCAAGAGGCCCCCAAGACTGCCCCACAGGCTCCCAAGAGGTCTCCAAGACGACCCCAAGAAGGTCCCAAGACGAGGCGCCCACGACAGCTCCAGGACGAGCCCCCGAGGGGTCCCCGAGGTGCACAACCATCTTCAAATTCCGAGCTTTCGGCCCCAGAGGCCCCCAGGAGGCCCCAAGAGGTCCCCAGGAGGCCCCAAGAGGCCCCCAAGAGGCCCCAAGAGGCCTCCAAGAGACCCCCAGGAGGCTCCCAAGAGGCCTCCAGGAGGCCCCCAGGAGGGCCCCAAGAGGCAAAATTCGCCCCATTCCCTCAGGGAAACGTGTATGTTTCGCATGTCTACCTCTTTGGCTTTCACAGCGTCCAAGACGGCCCAAGAGGCCCCCAAGACTGCTCCACAGGCTCCCAAGAGGGTTCCAAGACGACCCCAAGAGGGTCCCAAGACGGCGCGAGAGACGCCCAAGACAGCCCGAGAGAGCCCCAGGACGAGCACCCGAGGGGTCCCAGAGGTTCACAACCATATTCGAATTCCGAGGTTTCGGCCCCAGAGGCCCCCAGGAGGCCCCAAGAGGTCCCCAGGAGGCCCCAAGAGGCTCCCAAGTGCCCCCCAAGAGGCCCCCAAGAGACCCCCAGGAGGTTCCCAAGCGGCCTCCAGGAGGCCGCCCGGAGGATCCCAAGAGGCTTCCAAAC